ACCTGTAAAGTCCCATTCTTTTGGCAAGGTTAGCTATCTGTAATTATTATATAAAGGGAATTAAAGAGGTGAAAGAAAGGAGTTAATTTGGATAGGAATAACAATGAGAGGTTTCAATGACTAAATTGAAACCTGGTACAGGTATATAATAAATGTAATTATGATATACCAATGAGAGGTTTCAATGAACTACATGCTCATTAAGTTAAAACATTTTTTCAAATTCTGAAAAAATAAAATAAAAATTCTTTCATTGGAAAGGCTTGATGCTTATACCTTGTAGGAAGTTTATGATATAGGACCATCATTTTCAGAGTTCGATTGTTCATGTTCAACTTTCTCTAATCCTTTGTTTATACCTTGCATCTCCTCTGCCACAAACTTCAACTGGACCTGGATCGTAATCATAGATGTCAGTTCTAACAAATATACTATTTCCATCACCATAATGAAGTGAAGAGCCTTGGAGGAGTACAGAACCTTTGCAGCTAGCTCGAGGTTAGCAAGATCCTTGGAGAAGTCTAAAACTTCTGGTAGTTTATCTGCCAGAACCTATGGGTAAGCATGATATCAAAGACTACAATTTATTAAAGCTGCAAACTTCTCCAAATATAAATACAATGATAGTTATCCAATTGATTATCCAAACTTAACATCCAAATGGATATTATTATAGCACAGAAGATGACAATTTTTTTAGGGAGTTGTTGAAACTTATTCTATAGTTTTGTTTTATTTTTAGGAAAATGGTAGTTAAAATAACAGAGGAAAAATGGTAGTAGCATATTTTACTTCAGTATGAACTTTAAGCCCAAATCGTTCTAGCTGATGGAGAGTGAACTAATAACAACATATGTTAATAAAAATTGCTCGTTCAGAAGGGAGTGATGCTAGGACATGTCTATGTAAATTCAATTTTTTTATTCTTTTGTACACCTATATTTGTCACATTACCCGATATATAAAGCAAATAGGAGAGTTTCATATAAGCAAGGCCAACCTCCTCCTTCTTTTTTGCCCCATCTTTTTTTTTGAGTTTTTTCTCTTTGGCCTAAAAACAAAGTTAATAGAATAAAGTTAAGGCACAAAAAGGAACAAGCATGGAATGAGAGTTGGTCTATTATTTCTTCTCTGGAAATAATATAATTTGCTAGACGAACTCAAATACAAGCCCAACTCCGTTGACAGTGAATACTAAGATTGTTTGGTCTATTATTTCATTCAAATAACTCAAAAGAAGAAATTAATCTTTTGAATAACTCCATTAAATTATAGGAAGTCAAATGCAATTCACTCAAGTGTACCTAGATACCCAGGGGGAACTAAAAACTTCTATTATGTAAGGAATTAACGAGGCAACACATTGCACATTTTTTTTTTGTAAAAAAGAGGGGCAAAAGCCCCACACATTGCACATTTAGTTCAAGCGCTGCCACATATGGAGGGGTATCTATTAGTCAGTAGTTGGAAATTTTGTTAACAAAAATTATAGAGCAACTTAAAAAATTTCTGCACCTTTAGAAAATTAAGATTTCTTCAAGGGCTTCCATCTGCTCATTGCACGAACTTATAACAGGAGGAAAGGGGGTTGCCAAAAAATATAACATGTAAAAAAGTAAGATATTGATAATAACTGAACACAACCAAGGTTCGCACCATAGTTCACTACTTATGTTGTTTTTCCATATACCTTCTCTGTTTCACTTGAGACCGTGTCACTCAACGACTAGTGATTTGCTTAAATATAAAATAAGCTAATAAATAGCCAGACAAATAAACTTCAAATTGGTGTCATTCCTCCTAATTATGCTTTCCTTCTTTTATCTTTAATATAAATTTTCCTTAACATAAAATATAATGGGGAAAAAATTAAAGGGACATAAATGTAACAAGCAATAAAATCGGCATAAGAATGTGTGACCTCATCTCCAGAGGAGGAGATTCCTTTATAATCAGATAGACCATCTTTCTTAATTCTATGGAGATGATTACTCATAGCAAAGAAAACTTTTGTGTCTTCAATCCAGCAAAAATAAAATTACCCCAAAATTTTTTAATAGAGACTCAAAACATAATTCCAAAAAGTTAATCGACAAATAAGCATGGTGATAGATATTTCTCTGAACCTTTGAAAACGTCTCTCCCTGATTCATTATGTGCAGGAGTTTTGTAATAACCTAGAAATAAACAACACAACATACACGAAATTGAAATTCAACTATAGAATAATTTATACTTAAATTTATAATAAAAACCTATGAAATACCGATTAGGTGTTATTCGTCAAGTACCGATCGATGATTTGCCTGAAATAAGAGAGAAATTGGGTGAGAAAATGTAGAGAGAGAAAGTAGAAAAAGAATAAGAGAGAATCAGAGAATAAGAAAAAGAAGATGAAGAGCAGAAAATGGGCGCGAGAGAGAAAAAGTTATCGTTGTAGCCTTCTCTTTTCACCCACACTTATATTGGGAATTGAGATTGGGCGCGTTTGGTTTTTCTTTATTCGATTTAAGGCCTTCTAATTTAGCAAAACATAACGATAAATTGTGGAGGTTTAAAACCTGCCAAAAACTAGATTATTTAGTGGAGGTTTTTTTAACCTCCATTAAAAAACCTTCAGTAATCATTCTTTTTTTTGTAGTGTCGTTCTTTAGGAACAGGGATTTTAGTTTCTTTATGAATTTTATTCTAATTTTCTTGAATTGCAAGAAATCAACTTTTAAAACTTGAAATTCTACTAACTAAATTGCAATCAGATTTAGTTCAGTAAAGTCATTGTAATATCAATTCAACGAATAACACGTAATAAGGTCCTGGAACTCTAAACTCATGAATTTTCCCTTAATAATTTGCATCTCTGCTTATGACATGCTACAACACTAATCTTGAAGAAAATGAACTAACGAAGCACTTTTCTTAATTTTCCCAATTAAGATTTTAAACCTAATCAAATCCTTTCCCAATATATTTAAAGTAGATCTTTAATTGACTAATGATCAATTTCCACTTCAGGTTATCCCTAACCTTTCAAGCTTTCAATTAACAAAATTTCACAACCATTAATTTCCCAATTATAGAATCATGAAAAAGATGGTTCAAGATCCATTCTCATGGCTTCTTGAAACTAAAAATTTTGTTAAACGAAATGCAGAATCATGCATAACAGTCTTCTAAAATAAAGGGTACTTTCCAATCATTTAACATCCTAGCTAGAAATTTTAGAAACTCATGATATCGGTAATTGAAAAATAAAATCTGAAACTGAATTTAACATGCATTAAAACCTACTTCGAAGGTAAAGAGTATTAGACTACAGAGTGGTTCTTTGAAATTTAATGTGCTAGAAAAGAAAGTGCTTAACAAGATAAAGTTGAAATCTTCAGATTCAAAATCGAAAATGCTGAAATATCTTGGTTTATCTTCCAAGAATGGCTTCTTCACTCGCTTGCTTACAAAGAAAACTTGCAACTAACAAACTAGGAAATTCGTAATAGAAAAAAACTTCTAAACACTATTGAAATGCTTCAAACTTAAGAAAATTTTCTAAAACTAAGAAGCTTAAGTTTCTAGCTAAGCACTCAAAAGTCAAAACTAAATCCAAGCCGTAGATCACTACTGCCTTTTCTTTTCTTTTTCTTCATCTAACGGTCCACATCCTTTTCATTTCAGTAGCTGTCACCGGCACCGCCCTTTTTAATATCTGCAAGCAAGTAGTAAAATATAAAGTAAATTACCATATTATCATTTTTTTTTACCATTTTATGATAGTTGGCTGTTTTCTTAGACTTTGGGCCACTTTTTACCTGTAATCTGAATCATATTTAGCCCAATCTCAAGGCAAAATATAAGTGTTAGACAAACAACTTTTACCCCTAGCAACTATTTAGATTAACATTAACAATAAAGTAAAATGGTACGAGTTTTATACAATTTATTATCACATTAACAATAAAGTAAAATGATATGAGTTTTATACAATTTATTATCACAAACTACTCATTCGTGTGTGTGTGTATATATATATACATATATATATATATGAGAAAAATATCTATCCTTTTTAAAGGATATAAGTTTATATCCTTTTAGATCCTAACCGTTGATTTTCGTCCATCAACGGTTATAATCTATTGAGCCAAACTTAATGGGCCAAATTTATTATTAATTAATTAATAATTTTAATCCAATAAATTATAACCGTTGATGGACGAAAATCAACAGCTAGGATCTAAAATGATATAAGTTTATATCCTTTAAAAGGATAGATATTATTCTATATATATATATATATATTTACACGCGTGCGTGTGCATGTTAAGCTGAACTCATTTGCTTACAAAAAAAAAATGAACTCATTTATATTATTAAAGAATATACACGATCAAAGATTTATATAATAATTTATAAAAAAGTTTAATTATAAATATTTTTCTAAACAAATACAAAAATATTATTTGTGCAAATTGCAAAATTATTTTCCAAAAGCAAAGCCCAGACAGATCATTACATGAATGTCTTGTCTCAAAAAGAACATGCATGATATTATCCATGAAAGAAAAAAAGATCTTTACAAATATATATTCTGTATACTTCCCTTGTTGAAAGCCGACACGAAAATAGTTGAAGGTAAGGGTGTCGTTGGAAAAATAAAATAATGAAAACAAATTTTTAAATATTTCATGAAGTTAGACGTAAGTCATGTTCATGGGATCCAAAACATTTAAAAAACATGTTTTTTTTCCCTGTTTTTTCTAATGAAAGAGAAAACTTTACTTTTTTTTTATTTTTTTTTCTTTTGACAAGAAAAAAAATCGGATCTCAAACATCGTACTCAATCATATTTTTTTTAATTATTTTTCTCGAAGCCACAAAGAAACGAGAAGGTGCCATGTGGATAAAACAAAAAGAAAAAGAAGGAAACTTTACTTTGTTACCAGAAAAGGGTAACTACTTTATATTATTATAATATGCAGCAATATCACAGGCAGAAAAAGGAAGAGAAAGAACAATAAGGAGAAACAGACTAGCACATAATCACCAATCATCTTCACAGGCTCTGTTGTGATTCATAGGTCAGTTTCTTTGATCTATTCATTCTGTTGAAGCGTAAATAGATGTGGGTTGCTCTGTGTTTTCTGGGAATTTAATTTTTAAAGGGATATTATTTTTGGTTTTCCTCTGTTCTGGTTTTTAGTCTTTGATCTGAATTTTTTTTTTTTGGAGGTTTAGTGTGATGGGTTGGGGATAAAGTTTGGATTTTCAAGATGTTATATTGGTGGATTTTGAACATTTCCTCTGAGATGATTTTTTTTTTGTGGGGTGGAAACAAGAAGATGGATGTGCCCACCACATTTTGAAAATTGTTGTAGGTTTTTAAATGTTTGAAAAGCTTGTATTCAAAATTTCTTTGTTTTTCTTTTGTCGATTACACCATTCCCATAAGGACATGTTTTTATTTAATTATTGATTTATTTTTCTGTTGTTGAGGTTCCATTTTCTAAAGTAGAGGACAAATAGAAATGGATTCTGACCTTAATTTTGGGGATTCTTGTTAGTAATGCCTTATCTGTGGATTAGTTTTGACTAGTGATCCCATATATTTTTCTTTTGTCCTGGTGTCAAATTCCTATGCTTTTGGTTCCCAAAGGTTCTTCAGTTTTCTTAGTTATATATTCATTTTAATTTTATTATATCTCAATTATCAAGAGTAAAATGATTATTTTTTATTTTCTCATAAAGGTGATTGTCCATAGGAAGTTCTGGTGTATGACGTCCATTCAAGCGTTGTATATGGTGGCCAGGGCAGTTAATTTTTCAATCGTTCATTCATTTATTTAGTTTGGAGATTAAGTGCATTGCACCTTTACCCTTTTCCATTTAAAATCTAAGTTAGGAAAATTTTGACTTTTAAGTTTTTGCAACCAATGATAGACACAACATCTGTGTTAAATTAGGATAGCAATTGCAGTGGGGCTATAATTGAAGTGAATCTTATAGTGGTAAAGTTTTTGGATACATACCTAACATAGGAACTGTAGCAACTTAGGGCATGTTTGGTGCATAGTATTGGATAAAACCTGATAGTATAAGACCTGATTGTATAAGACTTGATTAAATTTTAATACTATCCAGTGTTAGATACATATGTTAGTTTGTTGCTACGAAATGGGAAAGCAAAAATGTAACTGTATGTTATCTAGGTCATTTATATATGAACTTTTCTATTCTATGCATGGATAATTAACACATTTAAGGTCATTTTAGCATCAGACAACAATGACCATGATCCTGGTTGTAATATTCTGCTACTGAGTTAATGTGAAATTTCTGTTATACGTGTAGTGTTTTAGTACATATAAAATGGAGACTGATCCTACTTTATTGTTGTATTTATATGTGCGGGACAAATATAGAAACTAATAGAATGTCTCCATCAATGAAATCAAAATCCAAGTCCAAGGAGAAGGTCTCTGCAGGAGCTGGTAAGGAACAACAGAAAACTTCTCCAAAGACTTCTGGGTCTACTAATCATGGGAGTGGCATTCCTGCTAGTGCATACAATCCCATCTTGGGAACATTTCAAGCTCTAGAAACATCATTGGTTGCTTCTTATGCTCCAATTCATGACAACAGCCATTTCCCAAAAATAGATTATACAGATGAGAATTCTAGTAGTCCTCAAGGAACTGTGTCTGAGTATGATTCAGTTTCTAATAATAGCAGCTGCTCTGGTGAATCAGAAGACCCTAAAGAGAAATTAACAAACTCTTCTTTGCGGCTTGATGTTATTCCCGGTTGTAATGACAGAAGGGAGAAGATCCGGCTTAAGAATGTGAGGAAGCACCAGAGGCAGAGGGAAAAGAGAGCTCAGGAGTTGCATGACCGGTGCAATGGGTATCTAATGTTGAGAAAGCTAGAAGCACTTGCACAACAGCTAGTGGCAATGGGGTTCTCTTCTGAGAGAGCAACATTGGCTTTAATGGTAAATGATGGAAAACTGGAGGAATCAGTATCTTGGCTGTTTGAAGGAAGTGAAGAAGAACCATATACCAAAGATACTACTAAAATTGTAAGTGAGGGTAATTTGAAAATTGACCTAAGTGAAGAGCTTGCCCAGATATCTGCTATGGAGGTGAAGCACAATTGTTCAAAGCAAGAGGTTGAAAGAGTAGTTGTTGCATGTGAAGGTGATCTTTAAAAGGCAGAAAATACCTTAAAATCTCTGAAGCAGGAATCTCTTGTGACCCAGTTAAGGTCTGAAGATTCTGCTCAAAATAATAGTTTGATGAGATCTCAAGGATTACCAGCAGCTTCAGTTTCAATGCAGGAGAGAGTCAATGGAAATGGCTTCAACAATTCCAAGGTAGGTGGTACTGATTCTATGTTCCCAAAACCTGGAAGCAGGAATCTACAGTCTCTAAACTCAAATCATCCAAATGAACTGACAGAGAAAAGATGGGGTGTTACAGGATCAAGCCCTTCTACTATGTTAACTATGGCACAGTCCATGCAATCATTGTCTCCATTTCTTAAAGTGGAGGCCTAACCTAGTGCCCTTAGGAATGAAGGAAGAATGATTCAACAAGTAGTAGGAAGGGAGCCAGTAATCATGATGCAGCATACACAATTCACAAATACCAAACAAAATTCTCTGAGTTCTATGAATTCCTTACCTTCAGGGACAACAGGTTGGTATGAAAATAGTATTCCTACTATTGAAAACATAAGGTCAAATGAGAAGTTACTACAGACTCACACCATAGGAAGTGTGAGTACAGATTACTTGGAGCAATTTTGTCAAGCTCCTTATAAAGAACATTCCTATGTCTTTGAACCTGTAGACTCCTCATCAACTGGGGTGGAAGGTTTCTATAAGCCAATGGGAGCATCTTCACCATCTCATACAATTCCTTCTCAGCATCATGGTTCATGGAGTATGAGTGCATCTTCTTCACCTGCACTCACAGTTCCACCATCTCTTGGACTATTTTCTGGACATCAGAATGCAGCAAGAACATTCAACGCGAATTCACATGTGGATTGGAATACTGGAGGCTTGATGCCAGAATTTGACTACACTAGTATAGATTGGAGTTTGGATTGCCCTTCATCTTCCAAATCAGGTGGATTGTGGGTAGGAGTAGGACTCTCATCAATGTTGAGAAACAGTTCTGGCAATAATAGGATGGCCAGTTCATGCATGACTGGATTGCAAAATGTTAGCATGGCTAAGGAAACTTCAACAACGTCTGGCTTGCGAGAGTGGACCACTCATTTTGCTGGGAAAGACATATTCAGTGTTTCCAGGCAATTTGTTACCTCTCCTCCTATGTAGTTTTTGTTTGTCTTGGAAACTAAAGAGGATGTGGCGTATTCTATGTAGTACTTGGAATGATTGTCTTGATGGTTGTTTTTGGTTTTCTAGTGAAATTCATCTTTTAATTTGTGGTCTATGATTTTTTATTTCCATGTAGTCATCCTCAAACTCCTCTTCCCTTCACTTGCATGTTTTTAATTTGAAGTAATTTTCTAAAGCTCATTGTTACAGGATCTTTATAAACCCCATGAGGTTGATTATACATGGCCTTATCCTACATTTTTACAAAAAGACTATTTCTCAAATTTGAACCTGTGAAGAAACAAACTTATTGCTGTTACATACAACAATTAACAGGGAAAAATTGTCAAATGATGCAAAATTGTGTATTACTATTCCCATCATCTTCGTTTAATTTAAGAAGTTGGGTCTATAATTGAAGAAACTTAGGCTAACTTCTCCAATTTTATTTTGGTAAAAATGTAGTGTTAGTTACCTCATACACCCCAAAATGATATTAGTTTTCTAGTATGAACATATTTCACATGAATGATGTTACAATGCTTTCCTACTATATGTTGACTTGGTACATTTAAGAAAATTAATTAAATCTCCAAAATGCTGGCTTAATGCTACATAACAACTAAGCTATCCTCCTTGTTTACTCACTTACTAGTATACGCACTACTTTTACGTATACACTAGTTATTCTACCCGTCTATTTCTTATTTTAATATTTATTAGTTTTATTAGAAATTATTTTTACTTGTCAAGATAATTTTATTGTATGGCTATGTACTATTAATAATAATTGATTAATCTTTTTTTCTTATCAATATTAAATCCTATTATTGTTGTCGTTTTTAAAACTATTTCATTATATTCTATCATTACTACTTTTTTTTCTTACCAACCCTTATATCCTAATATGGTTTTTTTTTTTATTATTCCATTCATTTTTTTAATAAAATTAATTTGCATAATATTTCATTTTTATTATAATTTTTTTAATTCTCAATTGAACTTTATTATATTGGATGGTAATGGTAGCGTATTTATTAATTTACTTTAACAATTAAGAACATATTTTAAATAAAATAATAATAAATATTGAAGACAAATAAACATTATGTTAAAATTTTTAAAGAAAATAATAGAATAATAAGACTCACAACAATATATTGTGTGAGCGTTAGTTAGAAAAATTTAATCAAGTAATACAGTAAAATTCATTTGGGAATGAAACAAATTCACTTTTAATTTTTTATAAATAGAATGGAATAATGAATGTAAAACATCACTTTTAATCATCTTTATTTCTTACCCACGCTAACACGTTAGCTTCTATAGATTTTGCCATCTCATTCTTTTCATTTTAGACAAATATGTATTTACTGATGTTCTTAAATGCATCTTAAGGCCGTTTTCTGTATAATACATACAGATATTGGAACATTTTAAAATACAAAAATAGAATGAGAATTATATATGCAACTTTTCAAATCATCCATTATTTCTTATATTTAATAATGGGAAAAATATTTCTCCCGGAGATAAAATTATCTCCAGTGAACTCAAAACGACGTCGATGTGAGGTTATAAGATTAAAAAATTATAATGATAAAGACTAATATAACCCTGTAATATATTATAATCACAAAAACACATTGATTTCTGTTCCAAAACGACGTCGTTTTAAGCTCACTGAAGATAATTTTATCTCCGGTAACAGAAAAAATCCTTTACCCTTTAATAATTCTCTTAATATAGACACAAAAATTTAAGCATCCCCATTCCCCTCCAAACTCCTTCATAGGGAAGTCCGACCTTAATGAATAAGAGTAAAATGATTGTAGTTGCTTCTGCTCAATAGCTGAACCAACAATGAAAATTGTCTTCTAAGTTTTGACTTTTATCCTAATAATAACTTCAGTTTCTTCCACCTTTCACAGAAACAAAAGCCCCAATATCCATAAGCATGTCAAATATAAATTATGAACAATTCAGTCCCCACCCCGTCTCCTTCTCCTTCTCAAAGCCCTTATAAAGATCAAATTAAGTTCCCTACATAACCTTGACGATGGGATAAAGGACAATTGGGTGGGGTAATAGGCAAGGTGGAAAGAGAACTTCACCAAGCTGCTCCAAACAGCAGTGAAAAGTGAAAAATAATGACTTTAGTTAAAAATAAAATTTAAGGAATTTACTTGGAATAGACTGGGACATAATTCCAACCCTGTCAAATGACTATTCCCTATCAATGTGTAGAAACTATACATTCACCTTAAAACACAAAGGGAAAATCTCAATGCACAAGACTCCCCGATTTGCGAGGATAGGAGCAAGAGTCAATAGTACACAGCCTTATCCTTGCATTTTGATAAAGAGGTTGTTTTCCATACTCGAACCCGCGACCTTCAGATCCCAAGTAGCTATCTTACCGCTGCTCTAAGGTTCACCCTCATTCACCTTAAAACATATTAATAAATGAGAACATCCATTCAGCAGAATCCCTATATTCTATGTGAAATTATATTCTCATGTTGTATGAGATTCATCTCTTATGTTACACTCACATAAAAAGATGTGGCTTTTTTTTTTTTTAAAAAAAAAAATTGGTGGGCCCAACTTTTCTCCTACTATATGAGAGAAGTAAAGCCCATATTCTATACACCAAAATGTTCAATACACTGTTCACCCTCCCCTCCACCACCAGAACTGTTTAAACAAGTATATCTTTCTCATCCTAGAATTGTAAGTCAGGAAAGCTCTGGCTTTGACAGGATCAACATTTAAATATTCAAATGCATACATCTGTTTTCCCTCTTCCAACCCATCTATCTCCATCACAGCCTGAAATAGCTCTGCAGCATCAATTGTGCATTTGCTGTGCTCCATTGAATCAGCCAATCGTTGTATGCTTGATGCCACCGTCATCAATGCATCCTGAAGAGCATCTGAACTGCAAGGACGTTTGGGAAGTTGTCTCAGAGGTTGAACCGCAGGAGGCTCCGGTATCTGACCATACTCTGGAGGCACACTGTAAGACTCAGTTCCATCTGTCTCACTCATGTTTTCTGAACTGGGAGATGCAAATGAGGCTGATTCATCTTCACAGTTCTTCATGTCCACTTGATTTTTATCACCCTTCATCTTAGCCCAACGACCAGGAGCTTGATCATTCCCACAAACAACTTTAAGCTGATCATACATATCTATCTGCTTTCCGCGAAATCCTTTTGCATCAGGGTGTGTCTATCCAACGAATTAGAGAACACTAGAATAGGTATTTTGAATTAATGCATAACATTCATAAACTGGGAAAGATTAAAGATAGACTCACCGAAACATATCTCTTCCAAAGCTCATCACGATCACACTCGATCATCTTTGTATTTGGATTCCACCAGAAACCATCTTGACTTAGCACATCTTTTATTACTTTATACCTCTTCTTAAGTGTCTTCAGACGGTTGATAATTTTCTGATTATTCAAATTTAAGTTGAAACGAGTGTTTACAGCTACACAGACAGCAACATATGCATTTTCACTGAAACATTTGTCAATTCTGTTTCCATTTTTTGCTTGAACAACCAGAGCTTCAATTAGGCATTTATCCATTGCAATTGACCACACAACATTTCTTCCTTTATTTTTCATATCCCTTCTGTGTACTTGCGGATCACAGTGCTCCATTTCTACACGCTGACAAAAAAATTGAAACAAACAGTTCAATATAATAATGCACACATCATAACATTTAAGTTGATTTTATTATCCCCATTTAATTAAACATAGTATGAACTATGAACCACTAAGTTACTAAAAGTTTTACAGAAGCAATGGGGAAGAAATGGTATGAATTCTGAAGTAATAAGAATCCAATACTGTGAGTGCCTACGTGTCAAAATTCACATGCAGTACACCCAGAAAAGGTTACATCATAAAGGAACAATACTTTTAGGTTCCATCAATGAAATCTTGAACTTAAAAGAAAAGGAAATTAAGGGCTCATACTAATAATCGTCTCTATTAATATCATTAATATTACAGAAGCAACCTCAAAGAAAATATTTTCACCTAACAAAAAAATAGTATAATTGAAATCCCATGCTTATGCATTCTTTATCAATTGAATAGAAAATAACATTCTGACATCAATGTACACGGTTCTAAGACCAGAGTTTTCTTTTAAAATGTTCATTGATTACCTACTGACAGAGCCAGTCAATAAAGGTACCACTCTCGGTTATCAAACTCATAGATCCTACCTAGGATACCTGTAAAGCACGAGATTGTATGTCATAACACCAAACCTAAGATTCTACCAATAACAAAGTTTTATTTAGAAAATGTATAAATATAAAATAACTCTGAATACCTTTAAAATCACAACTAGTCTAAGTCAAAAAGTCTAAGTCAAAAATACATAACAGAGATAAGTCTGTAAAAAGATATTAACCCTCTAATAAAACAAAGGTCATAAAAGATTTAAATTTAATATGATATGATTATGTACATGCTGTGAATAAATCCATATACTTTGAGTTAATCTCATGGACAAGTATAAACAAATTTATTTAAGAAAAGTGGTACAGAGAAAATATTAATGTTATAATATTACATCCATTCCTATCCAACAATATATATATATATATATATCATACCCACACCCATAATGCACCTAGTGGACATAAATGACACCTAAGCTCTTTTCTTCACACCAAGTCAGAGTCGCACACTTTATTCACTCCTAAATCCCCACAAGTAATGTTGACTGCTGACAAAGTTTCCTGTAACTGCAAGAGCCACAAAATCCTTATATATATATATATATATATAAGCTCAACTTAAGCTTATGTTAGAGAGATATAACATAAAATTATTAATGTGACATTTACTTAACAACTTAACCTTTTGGGTTAAATTGGCCATTTACATTATATCAGAGCCTCTGTGACCAAATGATTACAAGTTTGAGGAATTTCTTAACACAAGTAGGTAGTTTGTGAATTGTCCACCCTTCAAATACAATAGACTCTTGTGTGAGGGGACATGTTAAAAAAATATAATATAAAACCATTAATGTGACCTATACCAAACATCTTAAGCTTAGGCTTTGTATTTTATATCACATCATATCATATAACAATGTAGAAAATCAGAATTCAAATTCAAATATTTTTCTGTTTTTATTTCCTATTAATTAGGAATAATTAAGATTAATTAGGATTGATTGTTTTTTTTTATTTCCTATTAATTAGGATTAATTGTAATTGATTAGAATTAATTATGATTATGTTTAGTGAGTCATAGCTGAGTCATTCTTATGATTGTGATTAGGTTTGGTGAGTCATAGCTTAGTCATGCTTAACTATTTTTCCTTGTATAAATACTCCTCATTCCTCATGTAATTATTCAAATCAATATACTGAAAACCTTTTTCAATATGGTATCAGAGCAGGTTGGTCCTGAGAAAACTCAGCCACCACAACCACCGTGAAACCGGCGGCACAACGCCGGAAAACTCAACCTCCAACCATTATTAAGGTTATTTTCCCTTCCTACAAAGTGTAACAGCCCGTTACGTACCGGTATTGTTAACATTAATTATGATATTAAGCGCAGTTACAATCACAGCAGTTCATTTATAAAACGCGAATAAATTTTTTTCCGATTATTACGCGAGCATTTAAAACATAAAAAGGCGTAATAATTAAAAGCTGTGACCGTAACCGTAAACTCTTGCGGAAGACTTATTTAAACTATTTTTATCACTTATGTTACTTATTATAAGTTACTAAGGAGTTCCCATAAACTCACTTAGCCAATTTCCAACTTTACGTTTGTTACCAATTCGAACATGTTTCACTCTAAGTTTTTCTGCGACCAAACCGATCGGAACCAACCCTTCTTCTCAGATTATATCTTTGTGTTACTTAATTCCCTTTTTAAAAAGCTAACATACGCTCAATTCGGAGCTCATTTGCTCCGGTTATCGCCGTTTGAAGTTGGATAAGCAATTAGCCCAAACAATCCCAAAAACAGCTCCAAACCACTCACATTGCTCGAATTACTTCACTCAATCGACTCAACCATTTGCTCTCAAATTTTTATCCTACAAACTAGACATCAAAAAATTCATTTTGATATATCACACGCTTAATTTGGCGGAGAAACGAAGCAGGAATTAATTTCCCAAATCCAGTCCAGAATCTGCCTCAGGTGTAGGGGCACATGGGCAGTCCGTGTTTCTCTATTTTTTTCAGGCCGAAGATCAACCCAGAATTTCCTAAAATTTTGACACAAGGTAGAGGACATCTCAACCTTCAAAATGGCGTATGGCACGTCCCTAGGGGACCTCTATGGAGGGAGATATGGTCTCCCGAAGTTTTCCTAAAATCTGCCAATTCTACAGAAAATTCGCCAGAGTTTCCTTTGTTTTTCCAATAATCCCAAATTTGTAAAAGATCATTTAAACCTCAAATGTACCTAATAAACACATGATAATACAGTAATAATCCAATGGGTGGCACACACAAGGACCAACAACGCCTTGGGGCACTTACAACCCAATCCAGTTTATAGTTATTAAACATAGAGTCCATATCAATCATTCTTAAGTAGTTGCAATCACTAACACCTTTTTCATGCATATTTCCATCATACATATTATCATAACCTAAAATAGGCCTAAGGCCCTTCCATCATAATTAGACATGCATCAATACTATTACAATATGGCTTTACAAATTACAACTTGAAACTAAAACTTCAAATTACATTCTTCTAAAATTTCAACTTAATTTAAAAGACAACATAACCAAATACATCACTACTAGACTTAGGCAAAATGGCATGAACAAGATGCTAATGAAGCTACTAATAAATACAAATGACATGTTCATGCCCTAAGTCTAGCCTAGGCCACACGGCCAACAAAATGCAAAATATGAAGCGCTCCAGCGCTCACTCTGCGGGCCTCTTGCCCGAGGCTCCTGCTCCACTGCTACCTCCTGAAATAAATGCCCCGAGACGGGGTGAGATATACGAATATATCTCAGTAACCAAGAGGTTCTGGAGAAAACTCCACCCAATGGTTCACTTCGATGCATATCAATAGAATACAACAACCACTTTGAAAACGGGATATAGCAAGGGATTTAGAGAATGGGGAATATAAAGAAAACAAAATACGACGATACGGGATGGTAACCCCAATTCCACGTACGCCCTCGGCATATATAAGCCTATGGGTATCATCCAAGGTGTGTTCACAGAAACCACAACCATGATGCCCAAACCAACCAAAACGCCAAAGACATTCCTAGTGTGCTCCTACCCGGATCACACACCATGACCGCAGTCAACTGGAACTCCCTCCTGGAGACCTATCCAGCGGAAGTCCGAAAATGCCCGAAGGCTAATAAAACTGTCTACTGGCCAGAGACTCGGTACTTAAGTACCCATAGCAATAATGCATGCATGCTCATGTGTTATATACTATTCATACACACTTCCTACCGTTACCATCAACTGGAAAGGTGGAACAGAAAAGGGGAACAAGCCCCAGTACCAAGAGGTTACCTTAATTCGTGTTTCCACAAGCTCCGCAGCAGCTTATCCCTCAACTCGGTACACAGCGGAATGCCTACACAGAGGACATTCCCAATCACTCTCAGTTCAACCCATACATGTTAATTTATAATTACACATGCAATGAACCAATTTCTTACCTCAATCCACTTGGTCCCGGACCAAGGGCAATTCACTGATTCAAGATTCGGGATTCAGGTCGACGTACGGCAACCTATACAATAATGTACATCCATCAGTACTCGTCAAATAGTATCAAAACGCAAAAACACAAAAATCCTTCCCATCCTCCCTTGATGGTTCGGCCATTGTAGTGTAAATGTGAGATTTATTTTTCTAAATTTTCTTTCTCATTTTATAACACTCCCTTAGGTTGTTTAGAGGCTAGTTCAATCGTCGTTTTTTCGTTTTCCGACATTTACGCATCGTTTTGCGAAATATTTCATTCTGGGCTCATTTAGGTCTCTAACACAATTCATTTTTTTCCATTGATTCAAACACTCTCCAAGCACAACACAACCCATCTAAGCACCATATAACTACACAAATCATCATCCAAATTATTTTTCAACAACAATTCCTCAATCTTTCCTCAAAGAATCGAATTTTACCCTATGGCATTCCAAGGAATTTCCATACAACTTTAATCATTCCACACCTCATACAATCCTATTATATCAACATACAATCATACAACAACTCATCAATCCAATCCTAACACATTTTCAAAACTCAAAGTCATGACAACCTCAAAATTTTCTAAGTTAAAAATTCACATTTTTCATCAATAATTTTTATTGCATTTATGGCTACTACACATCATTCTAAGACACATTCATGTACAAACATTTTCCAATTGAGCTCTCTAAACACATCAATCCAACAAGCCCTCTTTAGGGTTCATAAATTCAACCACAAAATCAAACCATTGGAACACAAGGAAACTCACCCAAAAGCTTGGCACAAGGCTCCTCCTAAACATACTCCACCATTGGAGCATCAATCAACACCATTTTCACAAATCTAAAGGAAAGGGCCGCAGCTTTGGGGAGGGTTTTTCTCAAAATCTAGTGGCTTTCAAGGCTTGGGAGTACCACCAATGGATTTAG